CAGAATAACCTGAGCAAAAATGTAGCTGTAAGTGTGGCTCAACCATAGAGTACATGCCGAACAAGCACAAGGTCCTGAGTTCAAACCCCATCTTACACATACACAAAAAGAAAAAGAAAAAAAGAAAAGATGTACTCAAAGAACCAACAAAAGAATATGGTTTTCCTTTCTATAACTCTGGCTCCAATTGCCTTTTAGTTATCTTCAAACCCAGCCAAGCCATCATCTTTCTCTGGTATAGACCAGCCTTTCTGACAATATCTGGCATTCTGCTCTTCTTCCATGCCAGCTGCGAAACTTGATTGCCCTGCCCTGCCCTTCCTTTTCCATCTCCTCCCCTTTTTTTCTTCGCTTCTCTCCCTCCCGTCTCCCTCTTTGTGTTTCATGGTGCTGGGAATCCAGTCCAGGGATTTGTGAACCACACCCCCAGCCCAGCTCTCAAACTTGGGGTTCTCTCTCCCAATCTGCCCTGGCTCTTCATCAGTGATCTCACAGAAATGGGGACGTTGAGGCTCACACAAGACACTGGCCAAGTCTAAAGACTTGGTCTTAACAGCACAGATTGCTCGCGTCCCTGCAGGTCCCATCTCCAGTCCTCTGTCTTCTCTTCCCATCTTGGGTCAGGCTCTGATCTCTGCCTGGGAGAGCGATCTTTCCCATTCCCCTTCTCACATAGAAGCTTCCAGGAGGCCTTTGTCTAGGAAGCTGCCATTCCCTGGTCCACTGGCCTGAACTCTCTCTCCTTGCATCCCTCTCTGGACTCTAGGTTTGCCTGTGCAGCTTACTGCCAAGATGTGCTCATCTCCTCTCTGCTCCAGTGCCTGGAGCACTCATAAGGAATCTAGAACAACTCTTGTAAAGTTCACATGGCCCTGGAGCTGAACACTTGCTTCATGTCTGTAATCCTAGCTACTAAAGAGTTTGAGACCTGGAGGACTGAAGTTCAAAACCAGCCTGGGCAGCAAAGGCTGCAAGACTCCATCTCCAATTAACTAACAAAAAGCCGGACTGGAGGTATACCTCATGTGGTAGAGTACCAGTTATGAGCAATCAATTTAATGAAAGCACAAGGCCCTGAGTTCTAACCCTGATATCAACACAAAAGCAAAACCAAACAAATAGACTCTAGAGAAATATAGCATTGGGCACAGGAGTGTTGCTCAATGGTAGAATGCCAAAGTAAGCTGGGTGCTGGTAGCTCATGCCTGTAATCCTAGCTACTCAGGAGGCTGAGAGCTGAGGATTGCAGTTCAAGCCATTCTGTGCAAGAACCTCTGTGAGACTCTTATCTCTAGTTAATAACAACAGCAAAAAAAAAAAAAAAAAAGAAAAGAAAAGCCAGAAGTGGCTCTGTGGCTCAAGTAGTAGAGTGCTAGCCTTGAGCAAAAGAAGCTCAGGTATAGCACCCAGGCACTGAAGTTAAGCCCCAGGACTGGCACACACACACACACACAAATGCCAAACACAAAACCCTGGCTCCGGTCCTTACCACCATGCATACAAAATCAGCAGCAACGGGGCTGGGACGGTGGCTCAGTGGTAGAGCGCTTGCCTTGCATGCATGAAGCCCTGGGTTTGATTCCTCAGCACCACGTAAGAAAAAAGAAAAAAAGCCGGAAGTGGCGCTGTGGCTCAAATGGTAGAGCACTAGCCTTGAGCTGAAGAGCTGAGGGACAGCGCCCAGGCCCAGAGTTCAGGCCCCACGACCAGACCCCCCCCACAAAAAAAAATCCCAGCAGCCACCACCATCCACTTCCCCTAATCACTAAGAAGGTTGGAAGACTATAGTTTGAAGCCAGCCTAGGCACCCAAGCAGAAAAAATTCATGAAACCTTTCTCTCCAATTAACTAGCACAAAGCTGGAAGTGGCATTCAAGTGATAGAATGCCAGCTTTAAGCAAAAAAACTAAGAACAAGAGGCTTAGTCAGTACTGGCACGTGCACACACACACACACACACACACACACACACACACAATAATAACAATAAGTAACAGTATTCACCCTCCCTCCCTCTCTTTCTCTTTCCCTTCCTCCCTCCTTCCTTCCTTTCTCTCTGTCTCTTTCTCTTTTTCTTTCTTTCTTTCTTTCCTTTTTTGTTGGTTGTAGGGCTTGAACTCAGCCTGGGCACTGACCCTGAGCTCTTCAGCTCAAGGCTAGCACTCTACCACTTGAGCCACAGAGCCACTTCCGGTTTCCTGGTGGTTTATTGGAGATAAGAGTCTCAAGGAGGGCTGGGTAGTTGGCTCAGTGGTAGAGCGCTTGCCTTGCATGCATGAGGCCCTGGGTTCGAATCCTCAGCACCACATAAGCAGAAAAAAAGCCAGAAGTGGCGCTGTGGCTCAAGTGGTAGAGCGCTAGCCTTGAGTTGAATAGCTGAGCTGAGGAACAGCACCCAGGCCCAGAGTTCAAGGCCCATGACAAAAAAAAAAAAAAAGAGTCTCAAGGACTTTCCTGCCCTGGCTGGCATTGAACTACAATCCTCAGATCTCAGCCTCCTGAGTAGCTAGGATTACAGGCATGAGCCACCAGTGCCCGGCCCTTCTTTATTTTTGACAGAGTCTCACTGCATATTCCAAGCTGGCCTTGAACTCTCCATCCTCCTGCCTCACCCCCTTAGTACTGGGATTACAGGTGTTGCCACCACACTTAGCTTCTGTCCCCTATTTATAACCTCCAATGGCTCCCTGGTCTCTTAGCATCAAATCCCAAACCCTCACCATGACCCATAAGGCCCTTTGTGGTCTACTCTCCCCCTCTCCCCCCGACCTTGACCTCACCCCTTTCTACCAGCTGCCCACTTAAATATCACCGCTTTGACCAGCCGACACACCATATCTCTTCCTCCCTTACCTCGGACTGTGTTCATTTTAGCACTTACCACAGGCCTATCTGATATTTCCACTCATTTGGTGGTTCTCTCCATACGCTCCCTATGCCTCCCCTATTAACACATACCTTCTGTCTAGCTCATTGCTGTATCCGCAGGGCCTGAGCAACGAAGGACTGGCTGACAATAAATGGATAGGTTGCCAGCCCAAGAAGTGCTCTGGGCTGGAGATATCAATTCATGAGTCACGTGCACAGAGGGGGTAGTAACTAAAGCCAGAGGGGTGGATGCAATCACGAGGGCCTACAAGGGCAGAAGGGGCTCTGGAGAACAGAGCAGTTTCTAGCAGTGCAAAGGTCCGTGTCTGCCTGATCAACAGAAGACAGAGGAAAGAGAGGACAGTGTTGTCTCAAGAGCCAAGAGAAGAGTGTTGCTGGAGGGAGAGTGTGTGGTGGAACTGTTAACTGCTGCTGAGAGGGAACGTTAAAGCTGAAGGCAGTTTCCTAGGGCCTGAGGCTAGGCATCTACCATAAGAAGGACCTCTCAGGTCTGGGAACTCCAAGCTCGCTGCAGCTGCATTTCTGCTCATATACACAGCACTGCCAAAGAACAAAACAACAACAACAACAGTTCAGTCATTCATCCACGGCCTGGGAGAAAAGGGATCTCCGGGGGACCCACTCCAGTACCTACCCATTAGGCTGCTGGCAAACTTTGAGGAAGCACTTCTCTATTTCTGGCTCAGTACAAAGTGGACAGAGTGGAAGCTTCAGGCCTTTCCAGTCATGCCCGGCTGGTCTGCACCCCAACTTCCTACATCCCCTGCCAGGGCCTGTACCCCAATTTCCTACATCCCTGCCAGGGCCTGGCTTTCTGGATGAGTCCATGCCAAGCCCATCCACTTTTGCCCACCTGCAGGGCAGGATCGAAGATCGAAGGCCCAGCTGCTCAAGTAGCCACTCTGCTGTCACAAACAGCAAACACATGCTCAGCCTGCAAACACCAGCAAGGGATCCCAAGGAGGAGATGGGAGGTTGCTCCCATGAACCAGCGTGGCGATGCCTCCAGCAGCTGAGCTCTTCTGGTTGAGGGTCAGGTGTTCTGTTAAGTAATGGGCCCATTGGATTGACAACAAGCCTGAGGGGTGGACATTGTTATTCTTGCTGCTCAGAGAGGTTAAGAGCTTTCCAGAGATTTCAGTTAGTGCACAGCTAAGGGCAGTTTGTTAATGCAGCCAACCTGCCTTAATCCTTCAACTTTCCCCAGAGCTAGCACAGCAGGGGGTTTTAGCCCTACAGCTTCCTACAAGGAGTAAGATCCTGGGCAGGATTCATGCTCCTATTCTCTGCATCTGCAATAACGCAGTCTTTTTCTTAGGACCCTTCTAGATTAGCTAAGACTTGTCACAGATTTTACAGGATATAATAAAATGGCACCTCAGCTGGAGGATCACAGTTTGAAGTCAGTCTAGCAGAAGAAAAAAAAAAAAGTCCACGAGACTTTCATCTCCAATTGACCAGCGAAAAGCTGGATCTGTGTGTGGTTCAAGTGGCAGCGCAGGGACAGCGCCCAGGCCGTGAGTTCAAGCCCCAGGACCCTCACAGAAATGCATTAATTAAAATGGCATCCCATTGATTCCCACGCGTCTGCGGGCTGGAGAAGCATCCTCTCCAGGATGGCTGTGCATACCCAGGCCGGAGAGATGCCAGGGACCCGGCCAAGGTCACAAGCAAGCCAGCGCCCTCCCCGAGCCAGGCTCCAAGGCCCCCCCAGAAAGGCGGCGCGGGGCGTGGGGAGGGGAGGTGCCCCGGAGCTGCGCCCCGACCTGGCCGGCAGGGGGCAGCGCCCGCTTCCCCGGCCTCCCAGGGCCACGTGGGGGCGTCGCAGCCCCGGCCTCGGGGAGCCCCTCGCGCCCCTCGGGTGCCGGAATCGCGCGTCCGGGAGCCCGGGCCACCTGTGCCCGCCCCGGGGACCCAGGCTCCGACGGCGACCCGGGACGCTGCCCTCGGGCCCGGCTGGCGCCCCGCCCGTCCCGAGGCGCCGCAAGGCGGCTGCGAGTTAGGGGCGCCCCCTGCGCGCGCCTCTTCCCCCCGCAAGACCCTCGGGACCCCCGGGCTGTGCCGGGCTGCGCCGCGCCCCCTCCCCGGTCTCACTGGGCTCGGGCGCTCACCACTGCCCGGGGCTGGCAGGTGCGGACGGGCTCCGGGTGCGCGCTCACCGTCCCGGCATCCTGGAGCTCCGGCTTCGTCTCCGCCGAGACCCCGCCGCCCGCCGCCCGCCGCCCGCCGCCCGCCGCCCGCCGCCCGCCGCCCGCCGCCCGCCGCCCGCCGCCCGCCGCGCTCCCAGCGCCCTGCGGCTCGCGCTCCGCGCTCTGCCCGCGCCCGCCCCGCCCGCCGCTCCCCGCGCTCCCCCCCCAGCTCCTCCCCTGCCCGGCTCGCTCCCCACTTGGCCCCCGCCCTCCAGGAGGGGACCCCCCCCCCCCAGTCCCAGCCTCTCCGGTCCTCGAGTCCCTACCTGCCCGGGTCTGGGACGCAGGCGGAGGCCCCGGGCTCGCTCCCATTCCCCACCTGTGGGAGGACGGTGGGCCGGGCGGGGGTCCGAGTGCGCCCCGAGAAGGGCCGGGCCGGGCCCCGCGCACCCCTGCTTCCTGTCTTCATCCCGAATTGGATTTTCCTTTCTCTCTTTACGAAATAGATATTGACTTGCTCTGTGCCGGGTGCGATCGAGGCAGAGCACGTGGACGGGACCGAGGGCGGGGTGCGGGGCCTGGGGCTTGAAGGCTGGGGGGGGGGGCGCCCCCAAACGCCTACGCCACACACACAACTATGAAGGGCAATCAAGGGGGAAAGGAGGCAGAGAGGGAGAACTCACTGCGTTGGAGCCAGACGGCAGAGGAAGGGGTGCTGCCCCAGCACCATCCGGCGTGGACAGCACCAGCCAGGTCCAGGGCTGGACAAGCCGTAGAGGTCAGAGGGGGTAATGCAGAGGATTCTGAGGGCCAGCCGGGCTGTGCAGGGTTCCAGCAGGTGTCGGGGTGCTGAGAGCCAGGGAAGACAGAAGACTTGAGCTTAAAGAGAGAAACAGCAGGGGACTTCCACCCCAGAGACACAGAGCCTGGGCCGGGTGTGTGTCCACGTTTCCTACAGCCCGGACTGAGCTGGTCTGCTGTGTCCTTGCCAGTGTTTTTGGGTCTTTTGAAGCCTTGTTATAAGGAGCATCTTGATGAGTTGTCCCTGTTATCATTATTAAGTGACCTTCTGCCCCTCTAACATTCTGTCAGGAAGTCTTCTTAGCTGGGGGTCAGGAGGAGACTGGCTGCATCTACAGGCACCCCACACAGCTGTTTAGAATCTGGCACACCCCCAAACTCCGCGGCTCTTCCTCACATTCTTCTCAGTGTCCTTCTGTGTCCTTCTGTCTGCACAAAATTCTCTACCCACCTGGCCCTCCCCTCCTGTGCCTACACCTCATTCTTCTGGCTTATCATCTGATGATTGGCTCGAAGCCTCTCAATCTCTTCTCTTTTTTGGAAGGCTGTGATCAATGATCATTAATAATGCACAAGTTCTTTTTGTCTTAGCGCAAATCCCAGGCAAATAAATCTCTGGCAAATAGTCAGGAGTTATCGGCAGGCAACCACACCTCTACCATCTCCACTCTGCTCAGGTCCTGGGCTCTTTGCCCACATAGGAAATAAGAAGATTGAACCATGCCAACTGCAGACATGGCCCCAAATAGACCCTGACCCAGAGTCTCAAAGCAGCAAAGGGTCTCTTCTCTGCAAAGCTCAGCATTTGGAGCTCCTGCAGTTGAAAATTTACACGTGTAATCTCCAGGGCACATTCTGGGTGTGTGTCCTTTGATTAAAAAAAAGACCCTGGTGGTCCCAAAAGCTGCCCTAAGTAGGGCATTAGCGGGGCAAACCTCTCCTGAGAAGCCTTCTAATGTAGCACCTGATCACAATGGATGATGATAAAGGCAGCTCACAATGGTAAGAGACATTGGAAAGCTGGCTGGCAAAAAAGGCTGGGTCTGCAGAGGGTTTGTGGCAGCTTCTCAGCCCCTCTCCTGGGCCAGCAGATCTGTGAAGAGCCATCCCTGGACTCAAGGGGCTTGTGGTGCAAGGAAAGAAGCCACCCGCATCTGAAACACAGCCCTGCGCTGGAAGGAAGAGAGGTGCACCCCCCACTCGGGAGGTGGGCCGTGGGCAGGGCTGCCCTGTGCTGAGCCTTGAAGGATGGGAGGAGGCGTCTAGCAGACAGGGCAAGGGAAGCAGGGGCGGTCTCCTGGGAGGTGTAACTTGTGCAGCAGTGTTGAGGCTAAAGAGAGGATTCCTGCAAATGGAAGCTGCAGGGTTTTAGATGTGGTGATATGGCAGGGAGTGGCTGAGGTGGGCTGGAGGCACAGGGGGCCCCCCTTAGACGATAAAGTCTGGAGGCCAGGACATGGCATGATCTCTTCACCCTTGGAGCCAAGGGACCCAGGGCAGAGCTTGGGCAAGGCCATGGCAGACTGGATAGGGGAGGCTAGAAGTCCTAGTACCCATGTGGATACCCATCTAGCATCGCTGTCCCAGTCTCTGTCATTGTTATCATCATCATCACACACACACACACACACACACACACACACACACACACACACACACACACCTGGACTAACTCTTAGCTGCTCCCTGCCACCTACTGTCCATGTTTTCCTAAAGTAGATTTTCTAAATCCAGCTCTGATCCCCAGACTGAAGACCTCCACTTCCCACAGCTCCTGAGCAGGTCTGGCCTTTCTATCCTGGTATTCCTGATTCTCTTCAATCATACCCACCCTGTGTTCCCCAACTTTCCCAGAGCCACACTTCTTCCATCTAGAAAGTCCCCACTCCCATTTCCAATGCACATAAGAAGCCTCCTCCCTCCTTGTCCATCCATACTCACCCTTTCAGGCCAAGCTGGGAAATGCCCTTCTCAAGTGGTACCCCCATTCCTCCTGTGTGGAAGAGGGTGGTTCCCTTCTCTGGAGTTCCCTGCTGATGTGGGGTGAAATGTATAGGCCCTATGATTCTAATGGGGTTTGACTCTTCATTGCACTGCTCCAAGACTGGACAATTAGGCATGTTGTCTGAATTCTGTGAGCTTCAGTTTGCTCATCTGTACAATGGTCATGCTGAACTCTGCCTGCCTCATGGAGTCATGATGAAGGCCAGTATGAAATCATCCAGTAAGGTACCTAATATGTAGGTATGGCACACATACAGTACAGTACCTGGCAGGGAGGGAACACTGTGAGTATCCTTGGTTATTGTCATTGTGGGTGGACACTGCACCTTCCATGATTATTTTGTGTCCATCTCCCCTAATACAATGAGCACTCTAGGGGGAAGGTTGTATTTTATTCACCTAGGTAGCCACATGCCTAGCTCTGAGCCTGGCACATGCTGAACCTGGGTAGATGGAGGGATAAATGGATAAGTGAATGGAAGTGAATGGAAGAAGCTGCCCAGCCGCTCCTACTCCTCAGGGTCCAGCCTCTAAAAGCAGGACTCTTCCCTGGGCCTTCCTTCTTCTGAAGTGTTGGCTAGCTCCTGTGTCCAGTATTGACTTGTGTCTTGGGAAGGCTTTGTTACAAAACTGTGCTGTGCAGTTTCTTCAGGGACATTCTGTCTAGACAGTGGGGACGTGTGTGCCCCCTGGAAGGAATCACAGCCCAGAGGAGGATTCCTGGGAATCAGAAATCAGGACCAGCCTCGGACTCTTTCCTCCTCCTTACAGCTCAGGATATGGCTGGGCAGGTTCAGGAACTAGTTCCCAGCTTTTACTTGGGACACTAGAGAGGGGCACTGCGAAACCCACCAGCTAGGGCAAGGGTGAAGTGAACATTGGAAAGTCTAATGTGTCCAGATATCAGTGTTTACTGGGTCATGGTTTTGTACCAACCACTATACTTATCATCTCCCGTACCCTTGGGCAAAAGAACTATTGTCTATTTCCACTCTGCAGATGAAGAGACAGACACACAAATTAAGTCAATTTCTCTCTACAAGGCTAGTAACAAGACCTTAGTTATGTCTGATTCCCTGGGAATCAGGTGCTAAAGTATTCTGAGTCCATCTCCTTCCACATTGCTGTGTTAGTGGTGCAGGACCAGCAAGGATAATTAAGATGTGATTTTTCTTCTCAAGGAATTTACAACCTGCAGACAGAGGTGAAGCCTTGCTTGCCTCTGAATTCCCAGCTCAGGGCCCCATCAATACAGTGAGTGTTGCATAAAGCACAAAATGTCAAAGTTGGAACGCTCTGGTCTTAGGAGTTCAAATATACCAATTCTGTTAATCTACAGATCAGGGCTTAGGAGGAACTTACAGGAGAGTATGGTTGGGAGCTTGAGTTCTGGAGCCCGGTCACGTGGTTTGATTCTCAGTTTTATTGCTTTCTGGCTGTGTGACTCCAAGTTGGTCACTTAACCTCACTGAGCCTGTTTCCTTGTCTGGAAAAGGATCAAGTTGGGAGAATTGAGTGAGATCATCCATGTTTGAGGTTTAGCACAACACTTTTGGCTCTGATGTGTGTGTGTGTATGTGTGTGAGAGAGTGCATGCACGTGTATGCATTGGCACATGCACCAATCCTGGGACTTGAACTCACACTCTTCCTTAGCTTTTTCACTCTACCACTTGAGCCACAGCCCCACTTCTAGAATTTTTTTTGTGGTTAACTGGAGATAAGAGTCTTACAGACTTTCCTGCCCCAATTCAATGGGCTTCACACTTCCATCCTCAGACCTCAGCCTCCTGATTAGTTAGGATTATCGGCATGGACCACAGTGCCTGGCTTGGTTATCAATTATTAACTAGTCACAGTGACCTAGTAACAGATTCTGACTAGACTTGGGGCTTCCTGACTCCTAGTTAGGTGCTCTAGCGTGTGGCTAGGGGAGAAAAGAGTCCCCAGGGAAGGCATGGGACAGAGGATCAGGTGCCTGCTGCCTTTGGGGACATGTACCCCGTTGGTCCCTGAATCCACAGCTGGGTGTCTCCATGCCCTCTTTCCCATCTTTGAAGCCTCCTGTCCTCTTTTCTTCCCATGGACTGGAGACCAAATACTCATTTCTTACTGGAACACTCTGAGACTCCTGATAACAGGCCTGGACCTCCCATCGCAATTTCCTCTGGGCCAGACGTGGTGGGCTGAGCTGGGCTGAGCTGCCTGCCCAACTTGCCTGCACCAACAGGAAGTTTCCAGGAGCAGGGAGGGCTGG